TACGATTTTTTTGATAGGTAGAAAGTATAATGTGTTTCAAGTTTCTGGATATTGTCACTAAATTTATAAAAATCGTGCTCAAATTTGCCCAATTGCAATTATTCATCATGTATTTTAATAATTTTTATCCCCAAACGTCACAAAAGTGACCACATTTATGATCAAATGTCACAAGTTAATATTTTACTTTTCAATCATGGAGTAAAATTTCTATTTTTGCGCATATCATGACATTATTGACTACCAATGGTGTTTCTTTCGCTGCTTTAGCAATTTCTGGAGATGTAATTTGCAGATCATCAGCAGTCGACATTGGCACTACTAACTGCACTAGTTAAATTAATTAATGAATATTTTTGAAAATCTCAACAAGCTAAACAACAGTTTGAAGTTGCTAAGTAACAATGAAATTGTCATTGAAGTTGCTAAGTAACGGTTGAACTGTCAAAATAATATTTTTTGTTACTTATTAACCATGTGGTGTTTCTAGTGCAGTAAGTCACTTATTACACCTTCAAGTGCTGTAATTTACGTGGTTATGTTGTGGAAAAGTAGTACAACTATAATACGTGTGTAATTTACATATTGAAAGTTGATTATGATTTTAAATACTTTAAGAGGAGCCGTAGGCTAGTGATTATAGAAACATCGCACACATGTGTCGTATTGAATATTTTTCGGCATAATAGCGAGTAATTTATCGGTTATTAAACCTTGGCTTTTGATATTTTCTCATCTTTTCGTCATCGTGTGTATGAAATAAGCCTTGAATCTTCTCATTACTGAGTAATTTTAAGGTCGTTTGTCTAAAAATAGCGATTTGTTTCAGGTTCGGCGTACAAGGGCCCGTTTTACGGCGACTATGACGCTTATGGTTACGCCAATTACGACTTGGACGCTCTTTACGACATTCCCCACCGCCACTACTAGCCAAAACGTAGATTAAGTCGAGATATGATAATATTTTTGTACAGTTTTAAATGTAACAAAGTTTGAGAATAAAACAAGGCCAGTTTTTGAGTATTTGCGAAGAAAGTCTAAATGCTCATCTTCACTTTCCATTATGTGACGTAACCGTTTGGTAAACGTTCGAAATAGTGATTCTTCGATGGCATTGCTCTGGATTGTGGCCGGCCTCGCGAAGACAAAGGATTCTTCAGTGATATGTCAATTTATGGTAGCCGAGTTAAGGACAACGACGCCTGCGAGCGCTACTTATTCAAATTTTCTTGTTTACGAGGCATTACATAAAGAAATCTGACATTTTCTTGCGTTTTTTATTAGTAAAATCGATGACCCACTTGAACGTAAAAGTTGTCAAAGTGGCCACAATTCGATTGTTATTACGCGAGGTTTAGAAATTTTTGGCATTTCGCTGAAATTCTTGCCAAATTGATCGAATTTGTTATTGGTGTTTACGTGGTGTCTTCCCTTGACATTTCTGGAATTATTATGATTTGTAATTATGTTTATCGGTTTGATATTTAGTCCAATTGGGTGCGGATAAAGTGCATCTCTTGTGACGCAAGTTTTGGAAATTTTTAAATGACCAGGAAAAAGCGAAACCATGCCTTAAAGCTGCTCCAGAAAATGAAAACTAACAAGATTATACAATAAAAATGAAAGTAAAGCACAAATTTTCCATTTTTTTTTCTCTCAAGAACTATTTGTTTTAATTAAACTAGCAGTAAATTTCCTTGTAGTCATTTGTCTTGCATCTGACACCAGTGTTATATAAGTGTAATAAGGGAGATAAAAGAAGAGATTATTCTACTGTTCTATAAAAGGTATGGCCACATGGGGTCTCATAATTAAGAAAATCTCTAAAATGGTGAACGAAAATTGCTCAATTTGATACATTTTTTGTTCCTAGGTAAGAAAATACAAATTGCAATCACAGAATCTTTAATTATTACTTACGACTTGTTTAAAGAGGAACTGTAATAAACGAGAGTCCAATAATCCCCGCGTTTTACAAATGTTAGAATTGGACTTTCGATTTTACCGGAAGTGAAGGCAATTTTACATTTTTAGACTGAATGGAAGATTTTTATCAAGACAATTTCAGTTTTTTTTAAAGTCATCTGAAAAAATCTGCTTGAGTAGTTGGGCAGCGCTTGAACGTAAATCTAGCTGAAAAATTAATTTTTAATTTCTATTTCAGAAGATGTTATAAAAATAAATAAATAATTGGGATATAAAACTGTGAAAAATTACCAAAAAATAAAGCAATTTTACATTTTTAGACGTAATGGAAGACTTTGATCAAGACGATTAAGATTCTTTCAGTTTTTTGAAAAAAAAAATAGAAAACACTGCAAACTGCATTTGGACGTAAACTTAACTGGAAATTTATTTCAGACTTCTATTTCGGAATTGAAAAAATCTATTTAGAATTGTGAAAAAAATACCAAAAATTAA